AATTCAACACTCATTTTACAAATCAGGGAAACAAACCTTAAAACTGACTTGCCCAAAATCCCACCAAATAGGAGCAGTTTCTCGTCCTAAACTCAAATTAAGCTGTGGCTCTCAAACTTTGCTGCACGTTAAAATCACCTGAGAAGCTCTAATAACTGCCTCATCTTCAACATGAGACATTTTAATGTAATTAGTGTTGGGTATGAGTTTGGGCATCAAGGTCGTTGGTAAAAGTTTCCCAGGTGATTTCAATGTGCAGCAAAGTTTGGAATGATTGAGCTGGGGTGAAAATTAGAATCTTCTGGGATGCCTTTCTTCACATAGAGATGCCTCACATCCATCCCTATTTTCCTAAAAGCCTTCTCAGTGCCTAGAGATAGAGGGAAAGTGAAGATGGGAAGATACGTGTGTTTGCAGACCTGTATTTTGGGGAAAAAAAAACAAAAAACCTTGCATAAGTGATCTCAGTGAGTTCCACCTATCCCACTGACAACACTGCACTACTGACTTGTGATAAACATTTTTCAAAATCTTTTCTTGAAGCCAATTTGCCCTATTAATTTGCTCAATAAACCTTTATTTCACCAATAGTGAATATACCAAATGATTATTTCTCAGACTTGCTGATGGCAAATTAAAAGTTACTTTACTTTCAAAAGTAGAATTCTACAAAGTAGAATAATGAGAAAAAAAGCATGAAATTTGTTTCAGCAAGATTAATCTTCAAAGCTACTTTTGAATTGTATGCTAACACATCAGAATCTTTTGAACTCAAAAGAAGCCAGGGACTCTAGGTAAAGCAGTTTTTGTGTATGTGTGCTCGAAGATTTAAGAGACTCGGCTGACTACAGACATTTAGTGATTACTCAATAGGTCCCAAAGCTCAGGACTTGATACAGAGTTTGAGTCCAGTTTTTGCGGAAACACAATTTCATCACAACTATTGTTGAAATGAAGGGAGAAAAGTGACATTATTATGAGTGTAAACTTGCCATTTTTAATTGCAGTAAAAGTTACTGACAATTGAATTCGCTAAAAAGGCTAGTGCATTTGAAACAAAATTGTTTATAAGCTAGTTATGTTTACAGAATGAATAGTAAAATTAAAGACATTAATAATCTAAATTAGCACTTTCCAAACTGTGTTCTAAAAATCAACACTCCTATCCCAAGGAGATGATAATAATGTACACTGGACAGCCCCTGTGGAGCTGGTGCTGGTGTTGGTTGTTCCTTTTAAAATAAACTTCATCTCAGGGTGATCTCAAAGCGCATCTTTGTGGCCCACGAGGTGCTCATGCACAATGGGAGAAATTCAAATGCAGATACACTGTGGTGCCAGAAGAGGAAAAGCTGTTCCTTCTTCCCAGGCTAATGTCCAAAGTAGTACACACTGATTTAGGCCTCTAATGCATTGAAACACTAAGTTTTCACAAAACACATTCAATAAAGGGAACCTATCCTTCTCACTGTGCTCAACATTGTCTAAAGGCATAAAGGCATCAAAAAGATACACTGTTTCTGGGATTGCTTCTCTGCTAACTGACTTTTTCCTTCCACCACAACCTCTAAGATTAAAAGAGAAATTGATACTTAATATTTAGAATCTGGAAATCAATATATAGTTGATTCAAATTTCTTAAACTGATTGTGGAAGAGGACAACCAAATGGCTGAAATAATTTTAGAATAAAGGAATCTGTCTCTTGGCAGTATAGTTGTACTCACGATATTATTGTCATTGTAAGATAAGGCTGGCTGGCTGTGCTGTCATCAAGGAAGATTGTTGAACATGAGCTGTATTGTTGACTGAAACGCACAGTAGATACCTGAAGGGGAAGGGAAGTATAAGCTAAACTTATCAGAGTGTATTTTTTTCTTGGTTAAAATGTGAAATGACAAAGCACTGAGATATTTCTTACACTCCATGAACTGCCTGAGTGCGGTATCATGTGCACTCTACAGAGAACCCATTGGAGGCTCTTAACTTCCAGAGACGATGTTTAAGATACGGGTTATAAAATGCTGCCCTTAATATGGTACCTGTCATCAAACCTAACAAGGATTTTATGAATTCCCTTTAAAAATCATGAGAAA